GGAAAGAGCTATACCCTTCGTTCCCAACAAGATTGCCTCCCCACACCCATGCCCACCCCCACTTGTATGCTCTTCCCCATTGTATTTCTAAAACAAAATTATACGGAAATCTATGTAGACTGATTCTCTATTGAAAGAATTAGAGAATCAGTATTCGTTTTCTTTCCAAAAATAGCTTCTTTTTCTCTTTCTACCAATCATTCTCTTCCTTTTCCACTGTATGCTCAAACCACAAAACTCACATTATGCCAAAATCTTCCACCCCTTTCTAAATCTTCTCCGTCACAATTTTATGGTCTGAAGCTGTCTCCTTCATCTTATTTACCAATCCCAGTTTCTTCTCTGATCAAGAGTTCCATTGTTGCTAAGGTACAGTTACTATGAATATTTATCTGCTTGTTTCTTAAAATTTTGCACCCCACCCTTGTTCTTCTCCAAGGTAATAAATTCTAATTATTTTGTTGACTGTGACCAATAATTGGTTAATTTTTTACCAATAAAAAACACGAGACCTGAAAATTGTGACTGTGACTCACAATTTATTTAATTGTAATTTAGTTGTGACCAATACAAGTTTTGATTTTTAAATATGTGACATAAAAAAATTTAATTCGTGGTCGAGAATAACATGTGACTATAAAATTATTGATTTGTGATCAGAAAATAAGTTGTAACCAATAATTTGATAAGTTGTGATCGAGAATTTGTAATGAATAAATGAGTAGTGACCAATAAAATTTTCGATTCGTGACTGATAAATAATATGTGACCCTATAAAATTTTGATCCGTGATCGAGAAATAGTCTGTGGCTTATAAAAAACTTTATTTATGATTGAGAAAAAAATTTGTGACCAATAATTTGATAAATTGTGACCGAAAATTAATTTTAACTAATTAATTAGATAATTGTGACCAAATTTTATATAATTGTGACCTTAACAATTATCGGAATCGGAGCAGTCATCTGAATTAAGCGGCCACCGAAATAGTCGTCGGAGTAGAGCGGCCACCGAAACTTTCGCCGGAGTAGTCCTCAGAGCGGTAGGGATGGTGGAGGTGGAGTGTGTTAATTATATTATATTACAATTAAATATTTAATTAATAAATAAATACCTGATTTTTACAATTTTGAAATTTAAGACCTGAAGTTGATTTGGTAATAGTTAAACCTAATTCATGAATTCTTCCCTTCTCAATTCTATAGACGCCATTAAACAAGAAGAAGGCTTGCCGAACCTCAACAACGTGGACCACTCCCTTGCAAGAAGGGCTAAGATTTGGGATGGGCTTATATTACAAATAGCCCATGTTTAGTTCAATTAAAAATCTGATTAAAATCAATAATTAAATTTTAACCACATATATTTACAAGATTCACAACTTTTTAATCACATATTTCATCATTTTTTATTATAATTTACTAAAAAAACTAATTTTTTATCT